TTTCGATCCCCCCGAGTGAGGGCAAATTTGTAATAAGTGTGGGTGCGTGTGTGCATGTCTTTCAACCCCCACTTCTTTCTCTCTTTTACTTACCTTCTTTTGATGGTTAGTATTAGGACATATTTACTTTAGCATACCTTATGCTATGCATGCGTGCATCATTGATTAGTCTTGCATGCACCAGGCTCGGCGCATCATGCTAACTGCATAAAGTATTTCAAATCTAACTTGAATACATGCTATCTGTGCATTTTCACATGTCATCCTTAGATTAGCCGAGCCTATTCTAGATTGCATTCTGTATGCGTTGCATTAGCCACTTAACATGGACTTGAATCATGCATTGATTGCTAACATGTTCTTGTCTTGGCTCGAAGTACATTGTAAGTACTTTTATGCTTTAGCATCTCGCATGAGTGTGAATGTCAACATGACAACATGCTTACCATGTGGCTAGATACTTATGTGATATAAACTGCTTCAATGCCTGTGGGTGAAGGTTGGGTTGTTTGAATTGGAACAACTCATTGAAATCCGTACTTTAGCCTACTTGCGAGTAGCAAATTTCAAACTGTTTTTCAAACAAACGGATATGCAATGCTTCGTTCTAAATTAGGCGATCTAGTCTATATTTTTGTGTTGTGCGCATCACATAGTAATTCTAGCTAATTAACTGGAATAAAAACACATATCGTTTTCAAGAACGGATATCACGGTTAGTAGAGGCCGATCTTCGGATCGGGCGAGAGGGGGTGCTCATAGCTGACCTTCCCCAATCGTACCCAAGCTCCCGAGCCGAGGTAACTTTGGTGATGACGGACACGTGGCCTTTGGCACCGAGTCAGGGTTTCCTAAATTCCCCCATAAAAAATATTTAGATGGCGACTCTGTATCTGGCAAAGCAGTCCATGTTTGGCACTTCTTTCAAAATCTGTTTTTCTCAAAATGATTTGCCGGATTTGGACTCTTTGGTTCAGATTAAGAACCGTGACAATTTGAGAGTCCGAACTATAGTGAACCCAATATGAATGGAACGAGACTCGTCCTCCCAGGGCGTTCGGGCGCGTCTACAGTGACCATTAAGGTTTAATCCGTATTTGATTTTACTAATAATTTACTTTGAATATGTAATTCCTCGATATAGGATTTGAGTTGTTATTTGGAGTCTGTGAGAAATCTAATTCGGACTGATAAGTCTAATTTTGATAATGAGCAAAGAGCCACAAAGTCATTGCTTTAGAACTTATTTGTTATTTTGGGTTTAATTGTTGTAAGATGCATGTGCCTTTGAAACGTGATTAAGTAGTGAACGTTTCCTTAACCTTTGAGGAATTATGATAGTTGGGGTTGTTTGTGAACCTAAAGAGTTTGAACTATGTTTGATAACTTACGAGTCACATGTAATCGAATACTTGAAGTGAATCCATTTCTGAATACCCTTAAGTTGTTATATTATTTGGAAGGTATGACTTGTGGATCAATAAATTGAAATGTACGAGGGTTGTGAATAATGAGACGATGCTCTGATGTTATCGAGTCTTATTATCAATTGGGTTACCAATTAGCCAGTAAAGATGAATTACTTATGATTCTGGGAGCAAACTCCATTGAAATGGACTGTATAGGATTGTGAATGGCTAAATAATTGATAAATGTTGTCTATCCAAGACGACACTTGACTTGTGGCAAGGTAAATCAAGTTTGGAGGACCAAACTTCTTAAGGTGGGAAGAATGTAACGACCCCAAAATCTGTATCCGAAATTACTCTTAAGTCCTTGTGGGTTAATGCATTTTAATTTAATGATATCTGTCTAAAGTGAGGAATTATTTGTTGAATCACGGCTTTAGAATTAAAGTTACCGACCTTTACGGGTTCAGAAATCAAAATTGAGTACTTGGGTATGTTAATGGGAATTTTAAGAACTATTTGGAAAAATTAATTGGAAATCTAATTTGTCTAATTCGTTAATGCACGTTTGGGTGGTTAATTTTGTACTACAAATTGAAGGTCTTAGAGACTTCAGAAACCAGAACAGAGGACATATTTCTGATCAGCACAATTTTTAGAGTCACTTGGGAAGTTTAATTGAAATTTGATTTCGTGCGATTCGTAAGGCCACGTTTGGCTCCCTCTATTGTGTTAAGCTTATGTGTGTGGATATTTATATAAATAGAGGCCTTGTGAATTGCTGAACTCATCTCTTAGTACCAAAATATCTAGAGGAAAGGGGAAGCCATGTGAGACAAGAAAGAAGGAAGAGCTAGAGACTGAAAAAGAAGGATGGGGAAATTGATGAAATTAAAGTAGACTTTAAGAGATTGGCTCAAGGTATGTGAAATCAACTTAACCCCTTGAGATTGATCTATTATTAGTTTAAATTCATGATCTAAAATGAAGAGTGAATACCTAATTTAGTTGGGTTTGAACAATATAAGTTTAAATGAACTCTCTCCATGGAATTGAACCTTGATTCCTTAAGAGTAGCTTAATTGAAGAGTTAATTCTTTATATTTGTTTATCTTGAGGTTGATTATGGGAAATTGAGCTTCAATCTTGAGGTTTTTCATGATTAACTATATATGGATGAAGATATATGTAAATATGGAAAATGTGAGCTTTGAACCCCAAACCATGGCAATTTTATGCTCTTGTGTTCTTGTGCTTGGGAATTGAGTAGTATTTTGTGGTTATGATGTTTGATGGAGTTTAATAATGTGAAATTTATCATGTGTTAAAGGGTTTTGGGCTTTGATTTACATGAATTTGAGGTTTAACTGTGAAAATGAGAAGGTCCAAATCAAAAGGCCATTTTTGGACTGTCTGATTTTGCCCAGGCCGCACGAGCGGCCACGGATTCCGCACGAGCAGAACATGAAAAAAACAGAGTATTGCATTCTGCTTAACCCACCGGTTGAGCGGCCAAGTCCACCGCTCGAGCGGCCCAGTCACTGCACGAGCGGCAAAAGTGGGAGCACGAGCGGCCATCCCTGTTTCAGCATATACTAGGTAACTTCAAATAAGCATATCTTTTGCATCTGGACTCTGTTTTGAGTGATTCTTGATCCTAAAATCAAGCCTCGGAAGTCTAGTTTCCAATGGAGGTGGTCTCACTCCCAAATTCTAAATAGAGAAATAGTTATGCCCAAATTAGTGACGATTGTTCAATTTCTACTTACCGGGTTTGTACCGTTTCTTTGTCTGCACCTTTTTCCCATCGATTCCTCCTATCTTATGAGACATGGACTATAACCTATGGAGGACTAATAAGTTTAGAACCACCATGGCTATTGATTAAGGAATAAGAAAGAGATTGGTTTTATTCTCATAATCTGCTATGTGCATTGTGTTTGTAGGTCAAGACGAGGACATCGTTCCACTGCGGTCAGAAATCTATCACTGTGAGTAATAGTAGTGTAATGATATGTTTCATTTACTTCTTGTGATTATGATTTATGTATTGTTATTTGTGAATGGCCTGTTCCATTGAGATTGTGCTTTGATTCAATTAATGGATATGCTTGAATAATGGCATTGATATGGACTTAAGGTCGTTCTGCCCCTATTAATAGTGCCGCAATGTTCTGTTATTTGCAAGACAACTATGTTGATTTGTAATAAACCATGGGGAAATCTACGTGCACTATTGTGTAATGGTATTCCTATGAACCTGAGATTATTCTGTTTTGCTAATACTAGGCCTGAGGCCATTCTGTATAATCTGATAGGCCAAAGGCCGCTTTGTATAATCTGTTAGGCCACAGGCCATTATGTATAATCTGGTAGGCTAGAGGCCATTCTTTATAATCTGTTAGGCCAGAGGCCACTCTGTATAATCTATTAGGCCAGAGGTCGTTCTGTATAATCTGTTAGGCCAGAGGCCATTCTGTATAATCTATTAGGTCAGAGGCCGTTCTGTATAATCTGTTAGGCCAGAGGCCATTCTATATAATCTGTTAGGCTAGAGGCCGTTCTGTATAATCTGTTAGGCCAGAGGTCGCTCTGTATAATCTATTGGGTCTAAGGCCGCTCTGCATAGTATGTTGGGCCTAAGGCCGTTTTGCATTCTACATGGGCTTGAGGCCGGTCTGTATTACATATGGGCTTGAAGTTAGTCTGTAATATATGTGAGCCTGAGACCGTATTGAAATATAGTTGTGGATAAGACCTATATATAGTGGGTATCTGTCTATTTTTTTTATCCAAGATTTTGTTTATTCAATTAACCTCCTTACATTTCTATTATTCACTGAGCTTTGCTCATTCCATTTTATGTATATTTATGTAGGTGAGCCATCGAAGATTGACACTAGAGTTGTACTGAGGTTCGCCTGTCTGCCAAGTCACCTGGGATATGTCTCCGCGTGGAGGCCTTAGTTTGTGTTGGTAGTCATATAAGTGTGTGTGAGATCTATATAAATTCTATGATGGGAGTGTATTTAAATGCTTGAATCTAATTAAGCCTTCATGTATGCACAAACTCAATGGATGTTACCTTTTATTGATATTGCTTCTGCTTAAGGCCCCGTATGTGGTTAAATATTATTCTAAAATTCTGTTTTGAGGCCTATGTATAGGCCGGTCATGGACCAAATTTTTAGGGGCGTGTTTGGGTCGTGACATTGATACAATGCAAAAACAAGTTTTATACAGATTATTTACTTGAATTAATGGTGGAAAGTTTTCTTTTAAGATTAACACAAATTATTTATTGCCAATTTTATACAGTCTGAAAGAAGCAAGCCAATGACAACAATAGCTGTTTGTAGACAGTCTTGCAGGTATAGCATTGCAGCAAACATTTAGAAATCTAAATTTTCATTGTTTCATCAAGAGATAAACTATAAAATTCCATATAAAGTAAAGTACAAAAATGAAATGCATGCACTTAATCTTTATAGTGAATAAAGATTGCAAGTAGGCAAAAATGAACTAGATTAGCAACAAACACATCCAAAAATTCTATTCAATAAATTAGCCTTGCAAGATAAATCTCATACATAGATGTGAACTTTTCTCAACTCACAATAGCAGCAATATAAGAGTTCTAATGTGGAACTATTACCACCAATGGAACCACAAGGTAGGGAATAATATATGGAAATGACCATCCTTTAAAAGTCTAACAAATCACTTAATGGTAATCCCACAAAGTTACAGAGAGAACAACACTTTCGAAGTTAAAGATTAACAAATTCCTGCAAAGTGATAGAGAGACAGTTACTAAGTAGAATCTTCTTTATGCTTGCCTTTCATGTGAGAAGCAAGAGTTACCAACCTTGATAATGATCAACTGTCAAACTATGTGCCCGTAGACCTGCAAAATGGAGGCATACAAATTACTGAAAAAGAAACTACACATAAACCTATATCTAAGGCAATGTGTAACGGCTTAGAAAAAACAAATAAAGAAGTATAGTACATAATTAGTCACTAATGAACACTCAAAATTTACCTAATATTGCTCTTGCAACCATAAAAACATCATGTATAAAAGACGGGCTTGAATATGGGTATAAGAAAAAGAAATTTGATAAGCCATAACGTGCCACCAGAAGTAGCATGGAGAAACAAGTACGAGAACAAAAATAAAAAAATAAGGGAAAAATGAAAAACATTTGTTCCAACTCAAATCACACTATCGACAATTGAAATCATTGGAATAGATGACATTGGAACGGGAAATTGAAAACTCTAGTTGGAGAATTATGAGCCCTCCTCAAGCTGAAACAACTTACCTAGCCACAACGTTTAACAACTACTTGGGTTCTATGGTGAGTTTTTAGGCTACCGAAGGTGCTCTGATAAAGAATAGCTGCGAAGAGCACTATATATACATATCAAGCAAACTCCACAAAGCAAAAAGATAGTATTGGTTGTTAAAATGTGAAAAAAGTTACAGATAAAGAAACCTTCAGCATATGAAACTCCCAATACATTTACAACTCCTGATGAGGCTTTCAAACATGAAACTCTAGCACAAAAAATGAGAACTCTTAACAAACAGCAGGGCATATACAGTCATGAATAACCACAAACCCTTAAAACCCACAAAAATAAAGCTTAGATCATCACTCTTGTAGCACATGCAAATAAAGCTGAAGGACCATAACCCAAAGCTTAGATCATCACTCTTGTAGTGCCTTGCCCAAACTTGATGATTTAGAAAGACATGCACACAAGCTTAACAGCCACCACTAGGTTAATCTTTGCCTTAATGTTTAAGAAAACAAAGTCAAATGTTCTACTGTTTGCTTATGCTCATATAAGCACAAACTTTATATGAAGCGCATGAGAGAAGAACAAAGAAACAAGAAGAATCCCGAACAAACACAACGTAGATAACTATTATTTGAATTTTATTAATAATCAACCCAAAAAAATTAAATAGCCCTAAAACATATAACCTTATTTATAATAGTAAAAACTCTCAATTTGACTAGGAAATGAAAAATATATCAATTTTCTAACTTGACACTGAATAATTAAAAAAAATCCTAAAAATGAAAATTTTGAATTAAACCCATATTTGAATACTAGAGACAAAAGAAAAAAATATATGTCAAAAAAAATGGAAACCATAATGTAATTACATAAACAAAGCTTTCATAAAATGAGAAAATCACAAAATTGTGGACCCAAATTACTTGAAAACCACCTTTGCTCATCGCAAAGGCTTGATTTTTGACTGTTTGGCCATTTCTAATAGAACCTAATCGGCCAATATCAGTCCGAATACTTAGTTACTGTTTTTGTCTTCTTATGATCCAAATGAGACAAATGGGCTAAGGTGAATTGGTATGCATCAGATATAACATAAATATTCGGTCTCTTGCTGTATATCACTTTGTGGGTCAAAACATAAAGTGAGGTGCAAAGTATACTCGATTTCCCATAGACCCATAAATATGTGCAAATTTGAAAGCTGGGTAATTGCTGATCTTATTTCGTATCAGAACCTTTTTATATATGCATAGTGTTTCTTAAAAAAACTAACGCTACTTTTGTCCTCCCCATTTCTTTTTTTCCATCTACAAGCATATGAAGAATCTAAAGCTACAATGAAGTAAGTTATCAAAAAAAAAAAAAAGCTACAATGAAGTAAAAGTTGCATCTATAAATACTATGGGGGTGAATGTCATTACAACAGCAGATGCATAAATGTCAATGATATAGTTTGTTGTAATGTCTTTCCAGTGTTGTTGAATCAGTCCAATAAATGCAATAAAGAAAAAGCACTAAGCCTATGTAACTGAGTATGCCCTTTCAAATTGCCTCTGTCGTAATGGAAATTCTTTAATTCAAGATGTAATTTATATAGTTTGTACTCTTCATCAGCTGGGTATTTAGATTTATTACTCTTAATTTTATTTTTTCAATTAAAATAATTCAATAACCAAACAGAGTGGAAAAGTAGACCAAAAGCCGAAAAGAAAAGACAAAATGTTAATTTCTTTCCAAGTAGCAAAAAAGCCTGTTAAAGAATAGAATGGGAGAAAAACTTTGCTCTAACCAAAACCTAATCCCAAATTCTCATTATGCATAATCCTTGCTCTTAACCAAAACCTAATCCCAAATTCATTTATGCATAATCAGAGTGTGCTAAAGAATAAATGAAAGATAATCAATTAAAATGAAAATTTAAACACCATAAATAACAAAAAAAATATTTATAATTACTCGAAATCGACAGTATGGAGGTTGGTTGACAGACCTTAATTTTTATCAAAATGATCGTACAACAGGCATTGCCAATTTTCACATTGATCACTACGCTTTAATTAGCAAAAGAATGAAACAAAAAAGCTAACTAGAATCGAATTTATAACAACAAATTACAAATGAAATCAAGCACAACATTACTTAATTACCTAACATTGGAGAATTGCTACGCTCGAGAAAATAATGGATGATTGGAAGGCATTCGAATTAAGGGATCCAGTATCATGAGGTCGGTCATTGGAATTTGCACCATGGACAACAATAATCACTAGTAAAAAAGAATGACTCAACTCTAATAATGGGCTAGAGGATTTGAGTCCATGTCTGCTGATATAATACCTAGAGATTTTTTACTAGCTAATCTAGCCAGAACCATCGATGTCGTTTTCTGATTTGTATGCAATAAACCTCACACTGATAGAGTGCCAAATAACTTTTTCCAAATGAACACCCTTGCTAATAACAAAATACCTTCATTATTATAAATAAGTCAAGGAATCTGGTAAGCCTATGCGACTAAACATTCACAATTGAATCAATACCCAAGGTTTCTGAAAAGCGGTTGCCGGTCGCCTAACGTGGCGGTGAGGCGGGTTGCGGGTTCCGGGAGTAAAGGTCGTAGCGTAACGGTTGCGGTAACCGGAACCGTTGAATTTTTTTATTTTTCGCACAATTTGAAAAAAACTTACCGATTACACATATTTTTTTCCATGATTATATTTATTGGAGTTAAAAATAAATATGTGATTCATTTGTCAATTTTAAGTATTGATCAAATATATTTATATTTTTAAATCACTATAAACTGAGTTTTTTACATTTTATTTTAATAATTTAAGGACTTTATTATACAAAAAATCAATTCACTAACTAATTATATATAAGATAAATAATGACAAAAAGTAAGAATAATAAGAGGCTAAATTATATATATATATTTATATTTTAACAAAGCCAAATAGATAATGACCACACTTAATATTATTTTTTATTATTTATTATTATTTATTATTATTATTATTTGTTAACAATTATATATAGAGCAACATAAGCAAAAATGGTTGAGTGGATAGCCAGCTGAATAGGAATTAGTATAGGTCTTACAGCTTCAACAAATTCAATAACATGTTCTTCACTCCCTCCTCTCTTCTCTATCTCTGTCCTTCATTTTTTTCTCTTTATCTTCCTCTTCTCTTTATCCCTCTCCCCTATTTCAGCTTTTTTTGTTTTTGTTTTTTCGAAAAGAAACAGTTTTAGACCGTTACGTACGGTGCGTAACAGGCCATTAGGCTGTACGGACCGCTACGGCAGCCGCTCGATTGACACCCTTGTGAATCTTCAAATCACACTGCAAAGTGGCCGTTAACGGGTGGCGATGGTAACTGCCAAAACCGTTACGTAACGGCGTTACGTTAACGGTTGCGGCGCTGCTCTAACCAAAAACCTAATCCCAAATTCTCATATGCATAATCAGAGTGTGCTAAAGAAATAAATGAAAGTAATCAAATAAAATGAAAATTAAAACACCATTAAAAACAAAAAAAATATTATAATTTCACGAAATCGACAGTCATGGAGGTTAGGTGAACAGGACCTTAATTTTTTATCAAAATTGACATCGTACACACAGGCATTTCAATTTCACATTGATACATAACCACTTTCTAATTAGCAAAAAATGAAACAAAAAAGCTAACTAGAATCAAATTTTATAACAGCAAATACAAATGGAAATCAAGCACACATTACTTAATTACCTAACATTGAGAATGCGACGCTCGAGAAAATAATGGATGATTGGAGGCAATCGAATAAGGGACCAGATCATGAGGTCGTGTGATTGGAATTTGCACCATGGAAACTAATAATCACTAGTAGAAAAAGATGACTCAAAACTCTAATAATGGTAGAGGATTTGAGTCCACTGTCTCTGATTAACAATAGCTAGAAGATTTTACTAGCTATCTAGCCAGAACCATTGATGTTCGTTTTCTGATTTTGTATGCAATAAACCTCGCCACATGATAGATGCCCAAATTACTCTTCACATTGACACCCTTGCTAATAACAAAATAATCCTTCATTATATAAAATAAGTCAAGAATCTGGTTAAGACCTAAGGACGAAAACATTCATCAAAATGAATCTTTTTAGACCCTTAAATTTCTATGGCTGGGTATCAAATGTGTCTCAAACTCTGACTTGATCAAGACACCCCTCTTCATGGAAAGGATTTTCATTTGTAAGAATACCCCCAATCCTCAATGTCTCATTCAAGAATATTTGAATACCAAATTGCATCAGAAAATCTTTAAAAAACGCTATTTTGACAGCTACCCTATGCTGTGAAGTTTCCAGAAAGTAACAAAACTACATAATCATCTCTTTTTCCCACTAATAATACGCAATTGCTACATTTAAAATGTTCACATACACATCATGTCAAATTGGCTCAATAACACAAGGAACAAGATTAGTAAAACGATGTTCCAAGCTTCTATTTCACAAAAATTTTAAATCTAAGAACTAAGCAAATAGCAATTCATTTTATATCTTATAAGAAAAAGAGGAATTGAAAAAAAAACAAAAAACAAAAAAAACAAAAAATAAAAATAAAATTTGGGTTGAAACAATAATTGAATATACAGACCCAACAATCATTAAACCAAAAACCATCAAAGAAAAAAAAAAATATTAAACCTGTTGAATCAAAACAAAAAGAACATGTTGACAGCTAGCTAAACTACGAAAATGCAATCCCACAGTAGCACATAATTAAACCCACCAAGACTCAAACCCAAACATTAGTAATTCCTAAAACACTAGAACATGTTAATAAAGAACAAGATTAACATTACATTATGTTTTGGCTAAAATCACATAAGGAACAAGAAATAACATTAAGATGTTCAAGCTTCTTATTTTCACAAAATTTTCTCATCCAACAAATTTTAACTAGCCCATTCCGCAGAGAACTGACCAGTGAATTCTTTTTATTGCAATTCAGATAGGGAAAGAACTTGAAAGCACTATTTCACATAAATTTGGTCTGGATCTCTCACCTTTGTTTCAATTCTCAACTTCTTCATCTTAACCTAACCTCGAACACCACCTTACTGATCCCATCCGATGGCTACATTTTTCCCCCAAATATTTTAAAAAAAAATTCAAAAAATACTAAAATTAGAGTCAATCACTTAAACTAAAGATATATATATTATAATATAATATTTTAAATTAAAACAAAATAGTGAAATGCTTGTTTGAAGGGAAACGAGATATACTTGGTCCTTGAAAAACAAGCAATAGAGGCTATTGAGGGGATAGGAGGGAGGAATTTCAGACCAGGTGAGTAGATCTGCGGGTGAGATATATGAGAACTTCCTCACCGGTGTACTTTCTCTCTATTGTTCCTTCATTTTCAAAGAAATCCAAAATGCTTGAATCGCAAAAAAAAGAAATCACAGAGAACATCGAGAATGGCTTTATTCAAGAGAGAAAATGAAGTGTATAATCTGGAAGTAAAACTATGTGGAGAACCAAAAAATTTTTTTTTTGAATAAACTCTAATCTAATGAAAGACATAATGAAGCTTTACTTTTGATCGCAATGAGAGAGAGAGAGAGAGAGAGAGAGAGTTCGATCCTCCGAAAGGAGGCGGAGAGTTGTCTCTAGAATGAATGAACCAGATCGATAGTGCCCAAAAATCTATCTTCGAAACCTCTCTCTTTCTCCCTCTCTTCTCAACTCGAACCGTCTCTAGAATTGAATCAGATCGAAGTGTCTCTTTTATGGTTTTGCAAGAAAGTCTTTAGGGTTTGCTTCTGCCTTTTCGAATTCCACAAAGAGAATAAAATGTAACAATTTTTTCTAAAAGAGAAAGTCACTATTACAAATACCCTAAAACTTAAAAAAAAAAGGTTACTTTGTCTTTGATTTAACAATTGAAAAAATTAAACTTTGGATTGCCCTCCTCTCAGTTGATGCATATGTTCTTTTTTCTACTATAATATATATATATATTTTTGGGAGTGAATTCGCAACCCGAAAACTTTCATTTTGGTGCTTTTTTTTTTTAACATACAATATACGACATGCATTGTGCGTCGTAAAAAAAGACAATACTTTTCTAGACGGACATTGTGTGCCCTGTGAAAAGTGCACCACTTTTCACGACTGACGTATGTGTGTCGTGTATAGCTGATATATTAACGGCATGCCAAATGCATGTCATAGAAAGTTTTATTATTTACCGCAAACATTGCAAGCTGTAAAAAAATCATCGTTACTACCATTCATGGCCTACGCAATAGACATGCCATAGTTGGAAAATTATTTACGA